AATCAGACCATTGTTCCTCTTAACTATACAGATACTAGTACACTATTGGATCATTTTTATTCTCCCAGACTTTAAACTGTATTTTAATCATTTGTAGGATGGATTTGAAAAGTATTTGAAGCATATCTACAAAGAGAAAACGCTCTTCTCTCAAAGTGATCTGAGATACATGAGCTGTCAAATTGGCAATTAGGCCACGAAAAATGTTAGTTATTTGGACAATAATCGAGTATCAGCTGCAGGTTTTTAGCATGATGCTAAGTCTGATGAAGTCTTATGCTTGCACTTTCTTTGATGCTTAGCATACATGTTGCTTATGTACCCGATCACAAATCACCAAATAGAAATTAAATCCTATGACCTTGATGTTTAAAAGAACAATTCGTGAATTAGCTAAGATTTGAGAAGATGAGAGAAATTGAATAATTGCTTCATTCAATCAATCTTGTTTGTTGAAGGGAGAACAAAAGGCTGGTGTGTCTGTGAAGATTTGTTTTCTGACTGTACAGGAGTCATTCGTGTCTGGAGAGTAATTCAATACAAGATTGGAAATTGACAATGTTCTTGATGTTGCTTTGTCTGGAATTGATGTACTCATCAGCATATGGATATGTGGTGATCCTCTCAGAAATGACATGACATCATACTTTGCAATTGGTTAGTTGAGTCACATGTGACATTTTGTTCATTACCTCAAATCAGATGATAGCAAAAAGTTACCCTGCAACTCCATTGGATGATACATGTTTGATTGACACATACTTTAGTAATTCAACAACCAGTAATCCAACAACCATAAAAAGAGACCATGAAATTAATGCTATTATTACAAAAGGGACTTTAGTATTTTCCTACAGAAATTTACTGAAATATACTTGTTGCACTATTTTGTGACTTTCATACAATTCATGTTATATTCTATAAGCAACCAATTCATGGTTGATACAAAATGTTTCTAAGATATGCAATTTTATTGTATTATGGATGCCATTTTTGATTTATGCAAATTAGCAAAATTGATTGAAGGATTAATATCATTGTGTTATATGATGTCATCATGCAAATTCATTAAGTGCAGAATTTCAGTGACCACATCTGGTCGCCAGATCCATATAGACAATAAAACTGCTAAACAACAGAATGAGTAAGTTTGTCTTTCAAATATCAGCGATATGTAAAATTCCAGACATTTTTCAATTACAGGTAATCCGAAACTGACTGTAATCACATCAATCAATGGAAGTGTCACTTTACAGGCTGGTACCCTAGGAATGGTTGAATGGTCCATTATTTCATCTTCTTTAGCAGCTGGCTGTGAAGGGGTTTCATACAACATTGGTGGCAGATTGTCCTATACTATAAATAATACAAAATTAAACATAACCTTGCCAAGTGACACTATCACCATAAAACCAGCTTCTCAACTGAATATGCATTATTTCTACATAAAACAGAAGCATGCAAATGACCTGATCGCCAGTGATGTGATGGAAGAAGCTGTCCCGTTCACGTTGATCATTATGGTGTCCAACAAAGCACATGGAATTTGAATCTAATTGCAGGGGAACCAACAATTGTAGCAAACAAAACAGGTGTTCACAGCTTGGCAATGAATCCCTTCCTTGTCGGTTAACTTCGGTGATATCAATGGGTTTGAGACTAAGACAGTTTGGTGGACACTGTCAGCAATAAAAAGGGAACATTCACAAATTTTTCTGCAAGCTTTCAAAATATTAGTTCACACAGCGATAAAGAACTGTCAGTATTAGATCTTCTTGAAACGCACAATCTTGTCCATGTCGTTCACACAAATGCACCTGCTGATTTTCAAGAGGCCAATAGTGGAGACTTTCTTGTAGATGATGATGGTGATATTATGTCTATACCTGATACATTCTACAATAGCACGACTGGAGAAAAAGCACTTGGTCACATTTGGCCCATCAACATCAACATACAAGGGAAGGTATCCTGTATCTAAGAATACAATTATCATCTCTTAGACATTTTGATGGACGTATCTAGTACTGTGAACTGGACATATTCCCATGCCATGCTGCCATCTTACATTGGCGATTTACCAATAGCATAGGCTGAACGAAAAGACGGAATTGAAATCTCAAATGGGTATGATGTTTGGACATCACGTACAGACCAAAAGACTACAATCCTTCATCTGATTGATTATTTCCCAAGTGATTGCAGTCGGCTGACTATGAGCTACAGTATGATACTAGGACCTGTCAAGAGAGATACCCCACACTTGATTATACTGCAGTCTTAGCTGCATTTGGTGGAAGAAAATCTCACAAATCTGTCATTGTTATCAATATTAATAGTAGTGATAATATTATTGGGGATGGTTAGATTATATAACTAACATGGTTCAATTATTATCATATTAACCTTTATCATTTCAGGCATTTTCAATTGTAGCATCCCTTGTGGGCAAAGTTAATATTATTATTTTTTGTTCATACTTTTCTTAGTGGAAATAAAATGCGAGCCAAATACACTGATGTCAGCAAAGGCTTGTACGTTATAAATTATTTATAAACCTTATTGTGTATTCATGAACTCAAAAGTGTCTACATTTAGACATAGTTGAGCTTGTGCACTGATGTTCTAGACATGTGCCTAACTAATCAAATCGTCTCATGAATGATTTCAAATGAAAACAGATGGGTTTATAAATATAGAATATTTATAATCATAAACACGCCTTTGCTGACTTCAGTGTAAACGTTATATCGGGAAATATTTAAATTGATAATTTACTTGGCGGAAATAAATCGTGGGCCAAATAAGTGTGTTTATGTATTTTCTATAATTAAACATTAACGTCTCTGTGGCAGGTATATTATGAAAGTCGAGCCAGAGTAGAAAGAGGGTCTGGGTATACAAGTGAAACTTCATACACATTTAATTCAATTTTCTGCTGTGCATTTTTTATTTAATGCTCAAAACAATTTCTTGTGATTTTTGGTTGTTGAAAAGTAACTACCTACTGGTACAAGAAATGTGTCAGAATCATCATCGAAATCTTCAGAAAACATGTTTGTCGTCACTGGATGTGTACGCAGGGATTTTACCTAAAATGTCATGTATAATACAAGCAAATTTCAAAAGCATTTATTTGATGATTTAATGGACTGGAACTTGGGACACAAATTTGAAACTGTGTCCCCCATTTATGTATAAGAGTTTGCAGAAAATCTTCACAGTCTGACCGACAATGAAAATGATCTTCAAGATGGTAACTGGTAATCATCAGCTAGTTTTCAACATTTCTAAAACTAAAGAAATATTTTAGCATGTTGAATAAAAATGTACCTGTCATACACGATAAAGTTGAAATAAATGTAGGCCTGTGCAGTTTCAATTGTATACAACATCCCTTTACAAGTCAAGCTCAGAGCTTTTCAACTAACCTTCGTAAAGTGTGTGTTTAGGAATTTCAATAGAGGATTGGGGAACAACGTTCACACACAGTATTGTTGACTGACATCAGTATATCAAACATTAGCATAGGTGAATGCTCCAAAACTGTCTAAAGATATTCTTGTAACATTTCAAGATGAAGGTGTATTTCCCCACACTTGGTTTTTGTAAGCCATGTGCATGAGTACTCACTGTTTTAATATCATCTAGAGCCGTTCCACACACACACACACAAACACACGTCGAGTAAACAAAGAACAAATGGGTAATCAAATAGAAGCCAGTCTTTTTTAAACAAAACTTTATTTTTTTTTTCTACATAAGATGTTTTTATTTTTATAATCTCTTACAAATTATGTCTGTAAGACGTGCTGAATTAAAAATTGGGATACAATGACGGACTGACACTAACATGGTGAGAAACACCAAAGACGATCATGAGTAGAACGAAGAAAGAGCAGAGCAAAATGCCTGCAAATTTCAAAATTATACACACAGAACACTTAGAATAAAACCCCATAGTGTAGGGGGTAGTATCGAGTAGAACCATCTACCGTTAAGAAAACAAACAAGAAACTCAACCGAGATTGTAATAGAAAATTATTACTACTTGATCTCTTTTACTACGTAACAGTGGGCGGTGTCAGACTGTACCCAGACTGCAAAAATGGCAAGTACAATGGTTCAATCACAGTCATATACTGAACTCAGAAACATTTTGATTGTCCAGCAATAAGCTGCGGACGAGTTCAACTTCAAATGGTGGATCTATAATATTCAATGATACGGACAGAAGATAAATACCATATGTATATGGTACGGTAAGCTAAGGGGTATACTGATACATTGCTTCTTTTTATTGACAGTGAGAATTGTGCCATATGGTTTTAGCCAACATCTAAATCTAAATATTACCACCGGCAGTAATATGCAACAAGGTGAAATCAGCAGAGAACCCCGCCAAGGACCAAGCTTCTCAAGAATACGTTTAGCTAATAAATATTAACCTTCAAAAACAGCACAACTTGTCACTTTTAAGTCTATTAACATTAATTAAACTAGTTCAATGTGTTATCTAAATTGGCAATGAACAATTGTTTTGACAGCAGTGTTATATACAGACTGGAATGAAAAATGGTGGGTGAAATATTCACAATATATTAACTACAACACTAAACAATGGATAGAGAGAGAGAATATAAGTTGACACTAGATACACTGTTGTTGATGCATCCGATGACTCTATGCCTAAGGGATGGATATATGGAAGAACAGATGTCAACACAGAGACGAGATAAAACTCATCTAATTTCCAAAACCATCGCGAGCTCCTAACAAGACGAACCTGACAGTTCTTTTTATACGTTTTAAGTAAAAATTCCTTCCTGGCACACAGTACTATGTGTCAATGTTAAGAACCTTTAAAATGATTATTTTTGTACAAAGTAATTAACAAAGCCTTTCCCCAAAGGCAAAAAAAATATTATTAAGATAATGGCAATTACAGTATTGCACATATTACACATGTACTGTGTCAATTAGAGATCAATGTGTGGCAGAGTTGAATCAGATCAGAAACAGATCACTTGAATTGGATCATATTTGTTAAACTGTTTTTATTATTACAATGTATAACAATGACACATAGCGCCTTAATCATTCCTGTAACTCTGACAGATGCAATGCATATAACATCAGTTAATAGTATTACACTTTTTAAACCCGCTCAATTGTGGCGGCTTTTCTTAAAAATCTGCAAATTCTTTTGCACATTTTTCTGTGCTTGAAATCCTAAATGCTTCTTCTTCATAGTCATCAAAGTTACTAGTGTCACCGGGTCCTTTGCACTTGGGTATGAATGGTGCCTCCACCTGAAACAAATCACACAAGACATCCACTATTAATCATTTTAAAATAATTCCGGATTTATGTCAAAATTACCTCAGGAACAAGTGGTTATGAGAAATTTGGTGATACATTTTTATTCTGTTTCATTCAAATAATGTTTAATTTAATTAAAAGTGCAGAAAAAACAAATGCATTTAACATATAACGCCTCTAGTTAACAATTTCATAGTGTGACATTTTCTCAGAAAATCATATGCAAATAAAGAAATTTACAAGGGTGCGCCCTCTATAGACCATTTATGAAAAATATTTAAATGCAAAAACATAAATATGAAGTAATTATAATCCTTATAATAATAGCCACATTTTTCATGAAAATAACGTTCTGTAAAACAGTTAAGGTGTGAAGGCAATTATATATACTTTCTATATTTTCAACAGTTGTAAGGCTTGTTGCGTATGTGCCCCACCCCACAGCACTTGATCATTATTTAGATTCATATCCAGATGATTTGCATAAATATGCACGGATTAATACTGAGCAACATCAGGTGATTAAAATTTATTTTATACAAACCTTCTTTTCATAAATGGCAATCCAATCTGTTGTGGCAAACCATTTGTGATTTTTAATGTCATTGACACCATTCTTCAAATTACCATACCGTTTCGTCAGGTCAACTTGTAGAAGATTTCGAAGTAGGTCTTTCAAATCTGAGCTGAAGTGAGAGGGGAAGCGAACCTGAAAAAATAAAAGAACAGAGGTCATGAATAAATAGGAGTTGTTTCAAACTATAGGTACATTGCAGCAATTGAATGAGGGTGTCAAAATGTATAGTACTTAATTATTAGCTACATTAAGTATTCTAATTATAATCTTCCCTGATGCCGAGATCAGTCAAATTTACAATTTATGCTGTTCATAATCATTATCTAAAAATACAATATTTCTCAACTCGTGCATGAAAAAAAGCATTGTGGGGTATTGTTTCACATTGAGTGGGTATGTGCGACTGAAAACATCCGCTTACATAATGACAAACCAACAAATTGATTATTATAATCATGACTGAGCAATAATCAACATTTGTAACACCTTAACAAGTAAGGTATTGTTCTATACTTTTCATTATCACATGGAAATATCAATATTTTTTTTTTACTGTAAAGTGTCAAGTGTTTGAGATGCATATTTAAGAACCAATTGACAGACTTTTGCTCATGCTGCGAAAGTAATGTCTAAATATGATTACAAAATTTTATTTTCGCTTACTTTGCTAAAAGCTAAACGGTTTATTAAATCAAAACTCAACTCAATGAATATAATAATTTAAACAATACACTGTAGTATTCCTTCACAGACCAGTGAATTTAAAACTCTGCAACTTTAAAACTACTAAAACTAAACCCAGTGAATAGTTAATTGCACAGTGCTATCGTTTGTCAAAATTACAGTGGTTGCTATGAGACCATATGGTACTGCATATCATAAATTGTCCTTTCATTTCATTTTCAATGGTGTTATTGACCTGAAAGACAGTGAATTGCTCTGAATATATATATATATATATATATATATGGAACAATACATGTCAGCCAAAGTGGGGCACATGTACTTGAACAATAAAACAGCCACTCCCAAAAACATTTTTACTTAGGCAGATCAGCAAGCAAATACAATTAGGATCTTACTGGGTGGTGATACGAGAGTCATTCATCCAACAGAACTGAAGAGTACAATACACACTGGTTGGTTTAATTCATTTGTTTTTTTGTTTTATTTATATTTAACCGTAGCATGCCTGAACAATTGATGCTTGATAAGTCATAATTATTAGCTTGTTTTTCGCTTCCATCGCTGGGAGAGAAATATATGCTGAATTAAAACCCAGTGAATACACAAAGTTAAGCATAGAACGAATCGTTTCCTTTACAAACCAGTGTAATTCAGAGTAGTTCATAATTTGCATTACAATGATATGTTGATAAACTTTTGATGACTGTTCTAATAATTTGATGTTATTGATTATCAGAATAGCCATTATACTATAATGCTTTACCCTCACATCAAATTCGCTAAAATTATACCCTGGGAATATTTCTCCCGTTACAACAATTAAAAAAGACCAGCAAAGTGAAATCAACCCACTAGTAGTTTACAGTGAACTTGCTTTCATACACCGAGGTGACTAGTGCCATCTAACTAGATGTTAATGAAGACTACCATCTGTCAGCATTCAGTGCGAATTCAGACTTTAAAACATACATACCTTGCCTGAAACAATCTTTTCATAGATTTGTATAGGTTGGTCTGCAAAAAAAGGTGGATAACCAGCTGCCATTTCATAAACTAGAACACCTAGCGCCCACCAGTCTACAGCTTTATTATAACCCTGTCAAACAAAGAATCATCATGTGATTAGATTGGTTAGCAAATCAATAAAACATGGTTAGTGAAAATAATTGCTTTTTTTCTAGAGCGCAAATTAATATTACACAAATGGAAATTATGGGAGTTTATCATGGATACAAAACTGCTGTCCTCCATACTACCCTTGGAGCATCCAGGGGCCAAAGTGGAGTATTAGTAATATTCCTAAGAGTTTATCATGGATACAAAACAGCTGTCCTCCGTACTACCCTTGGAGCATCCAGGGGCCACAGTGGAGTATTAGTAATATTCATGGGAGTTTATCATGTATACAAAACTGATGTCCTCCGTACTATCACTAGAGCATCCAGAGGCCACAGTGGAGTAATAGTATTATTCCTAAGAGTTTATCATGTATACAAAACTAATGTCCTCTGTACTATCACTAGAGCATCCAGGGGCCACAGTGGAGTAATAGTAATATTCATGGGAGTTTATCATGGATACAAAACTGATGTCCTCCGTACAACCCTTGGAGCATCCAGAGGCCACAGTGGAGTAATAGTATTATTCCTAAGAGTTTATCATGTATACAAAACTGATGTCCTCTGTACTATCACTAGAGCATCCAGGGGCCACAGTGGAGTAATAGTAATATTCATGGGAGTTTATCATGGATACAAAACTGATGTCCTCCGTACTACCCTTGGAGCATCCAGGGGCCACAGTGGAGTAATAGTAATATTCATGGGAGTTTATCATGTATACAAAACTGATGTCCTCCGTACTATCACTAGAGCATCCAGAGGCCACAGTGGAGTAATAGTATTATTCCTAAGAGTTTATCATGGATACAAAACTACTGTCCTCCGTACTATCACTAGAGCATCCAGGGGCCACAGGGAGTATTAGCAATATTCATGGGAGTTTATCATGGATACAAAACTGATGTCCTCCGTACTATCACTAGAGCATCCAGGGGCCACAGGGAGTAATAGTAATATTCATGGGAGTTTATCATGGATACAAAACTGATGTCCTCCGTACTATCACTAGAGCATCCAGGGGCAACAGTGGAGTAATAGTAATATTCATGGGAGTTTATCATGGATACAAAACTGATGTCCTCCGTACTATCACTAGAGCATCCAGGGGAAACAGTGGAGTAATAGTAATATTCATGGGAGTTTATCATGGATCCAAGACTGATGTCCTCCGTACTACCCTTGGAGCATCCAGGGGCCACAGTGGAGTAATAGTAATATTCATGGGAGTTTATCATGGATACAAAACTGATGTCCTCTGTACTACCCTTGGAGCATCCAGGGGCCACAGTGGAGTAATAGTAATATTCATGGGAGTTTATCATGTATACAAAACTGATGTCCTCCGTACTACCACTAGAGCATCCAGGGGCCACAGTGGAGTAATAGTAATATTCATGGGAGTTTATCATGGATACAAAACTGATGTCCTCCGTACTATCACTAGAGCATCCAGGGGCCACAGTGGAGTAATAGTAATATTCATGGGAGTTTATCATGGATACAAAACTGATGTCCTCTGTACTATCACTAGAGCATTCAGGGGCCACAGTGGAGTAATAGTATTATTCATGGGAGTTTATCATGGATACAAAACTGATGTCCTCCGTACTATCACTAGAGCATCCAGGGGCCACAGTGGAGTAATAGTAATATTCATGGGAGTTTATCATGGATACAAAACTGATGTCCTCCGTACAACCCTTGGAGCATCCAGGGGCCACAGTGGAGTAATAGTATTATTCATGGGAGTTTATCATGGATACAAAACTGATGTCCTCTGTACTATCACTAGAGCATCCAGGGGCCACAGTGGAGTAATAGTGATATTCATGGGAGTTTATCATGGATACAAAACCGCTGTCCTCCGTACTACCACCAAAGCATCCAGGGGCCACAGTGGAGTATTAGTATTATTCCTAAGAGCTTATCATGGATACAAAACCGCTGTCCTCCGTACTACCACCAAAGCATCCAGGGTCCATGGTGAAGTAACAGACATATGCCAAATTAAATTATTTACGACATTTCCTACGGCATGCTGAAGTTAACTTATTCATGAATACATGTATTCTCACTGAATTTTATCTTCATTACATTGAACCTCGAGCAAAAAATAAACATAACCTACAGTAGCCAAATGAATTGTGAAGTAAATTGCAATCTAAATTTCTTGGAAGATTTCCAGTGAGAGTCTGTTGACACATCACATGTGAATTGTATTACAAACAGCCTTGATTATTTCACCCAACACTCTGCGTGATAATTATGGAACCAGAAAAATAAATCCTGTCTCAGATATGTATTTCCACTGCTACAACTGAGAATGACACATTTGATTTTTAGTTAAAAAGATTAAAACTTTTAATATTTGACTGAATAGTCTTATTTTCAAGTTTTTACATCAGGCCTATAAAAAAAATGAAATCAATCCCATGGTGACATGTGGATCTAATAATAACGCCAGCATATAGATTACTAGTTATTTATAGTAGCATAATGCCAAGCTGTTGTGTGAGCTCAGACTGATACAGACATACACAGAAGCTAAATATAATTTTCACTTTATGGTGGTAAACTACAGTGAAATGAAAGTCAACAATTAAATCAGTTAAATTAGTGAGGTCTAATTCACAGTCTACAGCATAATATTATCATAATTAGATACTGGTACAAAGAAAACACATTTGTTTACATGCTAGCCTATTATTACTATACAATCGAAGGATTGTATCTTGGTTGCATTCGACATGGTAGCTATGACGTGGGATATCAAGCATGTTATTAACCGAAAATTAGCACCAAGTTCAACTTTTACTAAATTAACCGAATATCATCAGAATCAGATTTTTTAATGTACTGTTAAAATTCTACTATAAACCGCGGTTTATATTACAATGTATCAAATAAAAAATTGGAATCAACAGCTCAAGTTCGGGGTGCGGTTTATATTAGGTACATATTGCAATCACTAAATGGGCGTGGTCATTTTTTTCCCACATCACTTGCACAAAACAAACAATACACCGTACAATCTTTTGAATATAAGCTAACTCCAATTTAGATGTCAGGGAAGAGTGATAAGCGTCACGTCACAAAAAAACTGTTCACAGGAAAAAAAATATTTGGTATATTTAATTCTCTTCGTAACGTAAAGTAAATCCCCAGTGGAGTCGAATATTTGAAGACAAATAAATTACCGAAACCCGGCAAATAACCAGGCGAACGAATTTTTAGAGGGGTCGAAATTTTGGAGTTTTTACAATACATGAGTAAGCCTAAGAAGGTATAGTATTACAAGCAATATTGGAAATGTAACAATGCTGGCTTTTTATAGCCCAGTGCTATATCCGTCTGACTACCAAGTTTAGATATCATCAGAATTAGATCCTTTGGTCTGAGAATGTATAATGTTGGATATGTAACAATGCTGGCTTTTTATAACCCAGTGGTATATATGTCTGACTACCAAGTTTAGATATCTCATTGAGATCCTTTGGTCTGAGAAAGTATATTGTAACAGTCATGTTGGAAATGTAACAATACTGGCTTTTTATAGCTCAGTGCTATATCTGTCTGACTACCAAGTTTAGATATGCTAAATAGTCCGTGTACATGACCTCCTAAAAGAACACACATTCTGGCACTTTTTGGAGGTCTTTGTTGTATTATAATTTTTGAAATTCAATGATAACCATGGCGATTGATTTTGATGAATGGAGATTAAAAAAATATCAAATCAATACAAACAAAAATCTGACTGGCGACAATTTCCTTATAACATGAAACAGATTATACAACTCGTCAGCTTGCGGTTGCATACTTCTACCTACTATTCAACATGTCGCATGTCACACATTTGCATATAATTACACAGCATATTTAAGTAATGTAATAAAATGACGAAGCGCTATCACTGCACAAGTCTGAAAGATAAACCATGCAGTTTGCAGCAGGATGTTGTGATTGAAAGTGAATCTCATCCTTAATCAATGTTGGGCGATGATGTTACATATTGACATCACATCTGATGTGAAAAATTAAATGCAGTGTGTCAGTCTGTTGCTAAACCAGAGCCAAGACAGTCTGTGATGAGGAGGGAAATCTTATAATTTCACATCTGCTTGAATAAATATCTGAATTTTAACATAATTGGTGTTTTAGTGCAGCTACTTATAAAACATAATAAATTCTGTCGCCACAATTTTGTACTAAAGTTTTAAGTGAGCCACCAACACTTTTTTTTTTAAACTTGATCACCAATGGCCATTAGGGAACAGATTTAACTTTGAGGGCTGCCTGTGTTTTCTGCCAAAATAATTGAGTAAATGTACAGTGGAATTTGTCTCCCACCTCCTCTAACTGGTGTCAGGATCTGTGACTTTCACTATTTGTGCTTATTAAATGAGGCTATTTGTAGCAACTGTTACTATGTTAGGTCTAGCAATTACAAAGTTACTGATCTACTGAAGTCAGTTCTCTCACTTCATGGATCAGTTATCCCAACAGATTTCAGCTCAACCATTTTATTCACTTTAATCATCAAAACTTTAAAAATATAAACTCAAAATAAAGATAACTTCAGTGAAACCACACAACAGGTTGTACATTCACTGCCCAAATCACAGCAAAGCAACGGAAATTATTGATAACCTAACATATTTTAGATAGCGGGATAGGAGTTGAGTTCAGAGAGAGTAGATTACTTACCTTACTAAGAATGATTTCTGGTGCTAGATATTCTGGAGTACCACACAACGTCCATGTCCTGCCTTTAACACGTTTTGCAAAACCAAAATCTGTCACCTATTAATAAACACATTCACATCGTTTACAAAATAATTATATTATAATACATACACTTATAAGGAAAGATTTAGGATGTATGATTTCACATGTTACTACATGTCTATTACAGTGTGCGCAACCATGATTCGTACGGGTAACTTGCAACTTCTCTGGTAAAGTCCTTATCAATGTTTCAATGACCTTCTATCAACTTTCCCAGACGGTTGAAGCGACCGCAATGGGATTCATATTGATAATTAACAATTTCTTTTGTATTGTCACAACAATGTTGCAAAAATCTTGATAATCAAAACAAAATTGACGCCTGTCTATTGCTGATCTATGTATTTCTTTGCATTAAGAAAGTCCCTTGCTATATACAGAGACTATTCTAAGGAGTTTGCTAATTCCCTATATGAATCTTATTTGCACTCGCTGTAAACTTTGCATTATTACTATACATTTTGAAATGAAAAAAATGGTTATCACGGCAAAAGTTAAGGCTTCATGAGTCGTATTTCCCCCCCAATTTTTCACTTTTATTTCAATGCATATCAAAACAGCTTTTGTGATATAAAATGACTATTAAAAGCACATTTCCAATAAAAGAATACTTTAACAAAAAACTGCATTTATTGTATGATGGATCAATAAAATATTGTTTTTACCATAGACACATATTTGACATTTAAATATGTACGACTAATAGAGCTAATACGGTACAAATATGGGGTGAGAAGTTAGCATATACAGTTCATGTATATATAAAACTGCAAAAATATAGCTACAAGGACAAAGAAATATTCATTTGCAGCTACCTGGATCAGTATTCCCCAAGCAAATTTGACATTCATTTGGCATATTGTGATTTCATCTCCAAAAAATCACTGAACACAAAATACAGGAAATGAAAAGAAACAGAGCACTAAATTTCATTGAGAAACCTGGTCACCTGAATGAGCAAATTTCACAAAAAAAAATAAGCTTACAGGAGAATCCTGGTCTATCTACTGTATGCATAGAAGAAGCCATGTTGCCACTGACTGACTAAGTAAAGTGTCAGTAGGGGGCTCGCATCTAAACAACATAAAACTAGTATGAAATGAATGACATCACACATTAAGAATTGGCAAGTGACATAGAAATAATGCAGCACGAGATTCTCTACATACAAATACAGATGAAGATATTTTCTAATGACATCAAAATGACTATGAAAAAATTACAGTGAAATAAAACATGGATTAGCAAATAGTTTACCTTTACTAGCAAAGTCTAAGCAGTACTCTAAGCAAGACGACTACATTACATAAGCCATGCACACTGACTCAAGTAGACAAGGTGGTTGACATCTCATGCAGTGAGAGAAATGTCCACCGTACTTACAGAAATATAACCCTGAGTGTCAATCAGTAAGTTCTCTGGCTTTAAGTCGCGATATATTACATCCAACGCATGAAGGTACTCAAAGGCCAATACTATCTGGGCAGCGTAGAATCGAGCATGAGGCTCACTGGAAATAAGCAAATAAGTTATAAGAGACCACCAGCCCTGTCAGTAACTTAACTACTATTGATACTTACACTAACGTAACCCTGACTGTCTATTAGAATATTCTCAGGTTTAAGGTCCCTATAAACAAGATCCAGATAATGCATGTACTCAAAGGCCAACACAATCTGACCAGCATAAAACCGGGCATGAGGTTCACTGTAAAGAAAGTAAGTTAGGTGAGTGAACAATGAATAGCAACAATGTGATACAATCTAATCTGTATTTGCTCTCAGAAATGCCCATAAGCCATTTATTGTATTCAGGATCATTATAACTTAGTTTGGCCATAGTACACTTCTGTTATTCATGTGCGCGCACTATTAATGGACCAAATATCCTAATCCAACTTACTAATGAAAAGGAACGTACATGTACAGTATATGGCTTACACCTGACCTGTCATTTTCGCATTTGCACTGCCAACTGATCGCATAAAGGTCCAGGGCACACATTTATCAAATTCGCATCACCTATTTGATCACGCGGGCACATCCAATGCTTATCCATCATGCCTGCATTGCATATTTACATTGCATAGGCAATCTAAAACTTACTCCGAGAAAACATTAACATCACCACCTAACTACTATGATTGCTCTTTGTCTGTGAGATAATTACTGTAATGAAATGATCAAATTAAAAATCGAATTACTATGACTGGGCCAGGCTACTTAATACCCAGTGTAAGGCGGAAAAAGTGCAATGACAATATATGCAGTTCAGGTGCAAAAAAAAAATGTGATAAATAGGAAAATTTGTGCAGGCTGTTTTGTTTTCAATGCCATACTCATTATATACAGGAAAAAATTAAATGCTAATTGTAAAACCTAAACCATAACTTGTCTTTCTGAGTTTCCAGAGTGGACAACCACATCCACATGAATGAAACAAAGCCAACAACTATAACATTCTCCTTGTTCATGTATACTTTGGGAGGAATATATTGGAAGGGGGTTACATAGTAGTTGAAAGTGTAACGGTATGAAATTTAGGTGAGAAAAGTTCTTGTGAAAAATAAACTAAGTAACAAACTGCAAACTGGTTTGAATATAAGAAATATAAGTTGTGACCAAAAATGAACTTAAAACGATCGTCAGTAAGTATTTATAAAATTAATCTGTGAGTCACACAATTAATATTACATGCACTGTGTTAATCATAAGGTCCCTTACAGAATATAACACATGATATATATGGAAGTCCTCAAATAACACAATAAGAAATCAAAACATTGTTGCCAACTTTTCACATGCATACATGCAAGATTCCAAACAGGTTAATAATTGTTGGCATCTTTCCCTCTATTGATGACGAGACAACGTTGAAAATAAATTACAATCAATGTCCTACCTAAATCGACCAATTCTCCTTAGATGGGAAAACATTTCACCTCCTGTTATAAACTCTAGCACCATATAAAGGTTGGAGTTATCCTGTAAACAAAATACACATAATAAAAATCAACTACTTGCATCACTTCTATGCATGTATAGGCCATCACAGTCAGTGGCGTTTGTTTACATTTTTACCAACCCATATGCATGTGTTTTCAACATTTATTTTGTGCATGGATCAGCAACGAACTGTGACAAGATTGCCCGTAAGTTGTTTCATCAACAGTTTGTATAGCAGTAAAGAATAACCTTCTTTGAATGCTAACGAATGGTTCTTTGTAACTCAGTCACTGAACATATGCACGTGCAAAGAATGTAAAAAAAGTGAGTTCTACTATTGAGGATTATATGCATGTCAAAGCATGGGCAGCAGGAAAACCCATACGGAATGCATTTGCTGTGACAACTGTAAGTGCCCTTTAATTTTAGTTCATTGCGCAAGTCAACTATCATTCAAAGATAACAATCCCAGATCCGTTAGTTCAAATCTTATCCAAATGTAGAGACAGTATTTATGTAACTATCCAATCGTCAAACTTGATTGACAACTACACTTTAGCATATGATATGCTATTTGAGTCACAACCAGACACAAATTTATATCACATCAATGACTAACTTAGTTATTTATGTATCACACACACGAAAAGAAATGTCAGTCAGATTATGGAAGAGCTAGTATTCCTAAGCTACAGACAAATATAAAAATTGCAGATGAGATACTTTACAAAACACTGTAAGACGACACAGTGATTTGATTAAAAATTACAAAACATGACGATCATGTGATATCATATGAAAATTAACAGTACCCGTAAAATCTGTATTAGAAGCCGCATCCCTAATAGAAGTCGCACCCATTTTTTTAAAACAATTGTGAACCAAAAAATCATCATTTCTCATATGTGTAGATGCTCTAATAGAAGCCGCACCCCCTCTATTGGATTGTACCATTTTAATAGAAGCCGCGGTTTCTAATACAGATTTTACAGTAGTTCATATATTCAGTGAAGTGTTAGCAAGCATGATAAATCATCCTATTTTATTAATAAGCCAGCATATTTTTGAATATTATTTATCGTATTTTATTTCTATCAGAATATGAAATAAACGTAATAAGTATGTGAAGATTACGCAAGAGTATTCAATCCTGTTATTTGCAGTCACAAAATTAAATTCTGAAACTGAATTCTGAAACCATAACACAAGTTCAGAAGCCAAGCATGGCACAGTCCCTCTTAGTTTTAATTTAAGATATACAGTTTGTTTATAGTAATATAGTTGGAACACAAACATGTCAGAGATATGGATGCAGAAGCTGATGCTTAATTATGATGATTTTTTAACATTAAAATGTTTGACATTCAGTCATCCTGTGTTTGATCTTCACACGAGTATTTGTTCATATTGAGAGATATTGCTCTGGAAAAGCATTAATAAAAACTATTTTTAAATACATCTGTATATCTATGACATGATGTTCAATGAATATATCAAATTTGAACATCAGACAAAGCATGTCAGAGATATGGCACTAGAACCGCAGTCATCAAAACAAAATGGCCACCAGTCAGCCATTTTAATCCGATCTGAAAAACAAAATTATTGTGTAATGACATTAGTTTATATGCCACCATTAATAGTAATAATGGCACTTTGTGTTGAAAATTGTTTATGAATTCTGAGAAAAATAAGTGTACCGAGAACTATGAAAACAGCTGCTGACACGTAACATCAAAATTGACTGATGGTTGGCCGAATTGAATTGAATCACACAAAAAAAACAGGTGCTGATGTATCTTCATTTATACTATCCACGTACTAAGATTAAATAAATCTGTAAAAGTGTATCTGAGAAGATAGGGGGAAATATGTAAAAAAAAACAAAATGGCCACCAGTCTGCAAAATTTGTTCAATCACGGGAAAAAATGACATGCACCTGTAATGATCATCATATCAACTTTGATCGAAATCAAAGTAGCAGCTACTGACATGCTTGTGAATCAAAAATAGCAAATTTTATGTTCAAAATGGACACAAGTCAGCCATTTTTGTTTCATCTGTAAAACACAGTGTATTGTTTGTGTGTAAAGTTTGAATGAGATCGGTCAATGACTGTCTAAGATATGACTCCTGACAGACGAACGAATGAACCCCGAAATTAATAGTCCCAGTTTTTGAATGGAATAAACAAACGTACATGATGGCAGCTGTCAAAGGGTCACAGTTTCACCATGATTCTTATCAATATTTTTGTGAGATTTTAAAATATTGGCTGCATCAGCCATGGTATTATACATTAATGGAATATTCACACATTGATGCTATTTTCGCATACTGTAAAATGATTAATTTTCACTGGGTTTAAATTTCGCTGAATAACCATTTCAGGCATAATCAGTGGGTTTTAAATTCACGGATTTATCATTTAGATAATGTGTTCTATGCCAAATTTTACATATTCACTGGGTTTTAATTTAGCGCATTTTCCAGTCAGCGAAATAGGCGAAATTAAAACCCAGTGAATAATTAACCCCTTTACAGTATCTAAGAAATTTTATTTTTTTTAAATTAATTTATTTTACAAAAAATATGATTCTGTGCCTGTGCAAATTGGTAGTCTGTTTTCATAACAAGGAAAAAAATAACAGGACAAGATTTTTGATGTCCATGGCTGGAGCACATTCGGATTGCCGGGGAAGTATCACAACAACTTCAAGACATTCATGTACGAACATGCAAATTTAATATAAAGCAAATACAGTGAATGGTATGTATTTAATTTTTAGACGTAACATGAGACCCACACAAATTACCAGAAAACATTCGCATCTACAACCAGTATTTCAACAGTATATTTACACGAGTGTCCTGTGGCTCTTAAAAGAAAATGTTTTAGACAGCTGGTCTCAAAACACTAACACTTAAATAATCTAATGTCTTGTGACCTACATAAATTATACAGGAATGGCAATTACTACAAATTCTCAAACGTTTTTAAAATATCAAGTACATGTGACGTGTCTCACTAGCAAATACTTAAAACATGAGGATTTTATTTTCAGAAGAGTTTACTTTGTGGGTAAACATCTCTGTAGATCAATTTAACACAACTTTCTTCTGACCATCATGTTGAAAGAATTTGACACTTTGTGCATGGTTCAGTACCTATGTAAATTATGTATTGAAACTTTTGGGAATTTCCCATTATTACCAGCAGACTTCAGATCACAGCTATAAACCCCTTTCAAACCTCTTCAGGAATTCCAGAGTTGAAAATGTAATTTACTCCCAAATTATAGATCATACAAATAGTGTTAGACATTTGTGCAATTTTCTGTGTGTCACTGTGAGCAGACTGGTTTCCCATTATATTGATCACCAGACATTCATGTCAGTGATGAGGATGGCAGAGCACAGCAATGAACTGGAAGAGCAGCCCATGGCAATACTGAGTACTGTAAAATACTTTATTTTTGCTTGGAAAATAAAATCCAGCGATTATACCTTTTTCTCTAAATTTTATATTCAACTCGTCAAAAAACAGTGAAAATACATTCCACACAAAACACATAAAAAGTCTTTTCAGCGAAAGTTAATTCCAGCTAAAATCTAGTATTTTACAGTAATGCAAATAAGTAGTTGTATTGTGCATTATTGCTGAACAAACAATAATTGAAGACAAACTGGTACATTGATTATACAACAAATGATCAATTCGTTCTGTGTTTTTGGAAGTCTATTTGAGTTAATAATTTCAAGAAATGAAAATCTGGGATCAAGTCTGTGGTGCACTAAACATCCTAGTTTTCATTAAGCCACGTACGTGGTTCTGTATACCAAGTGACGGAAAATATTATTTTTATTGACAGTTATGACTGTAGCTTGTCAGAGTGGATGAAATAGGATAAACAGGACTTTGACATTGATGTCAGTTAGGGACAACGTCAAAAGATCAATGTCTGATAAAAAAACTTAATTCTTTCACTTTTTTCCCAAACCCCCCCACTGAAACTTAATTGATAAATATTGATCATGGCGTCAGACTACATTCACCATTAAATGCAAATTGATAATCGGACAGTAATATGGCATAGCAGTTGGTTGTAATAATGAAGCGAAATATACGCATGCGCAAACTACTTTCTGGGTTCTGCGGATGCTCTAGGTCCGCCCTGAAATTGACCTCATTTGACGCACATATTTACATTCGGGCCAAACCATTTTCTCGTCTTGGGTGTTTGTTTTTTCACTTTCTGTTATTTTTGTCTATGATTGGATAGAAAAAAAACGAACTACAAATACTCCAAGTTTTTTTTGACTTTATTAAAAAATAAAATCGTTTTTGTAGGATGGAAACTTTTTGAGGCCAACCCCCCACCCCCAAACTAAAGCAATTAAGTTTTTTATCCGACATCAATCTTTTGACGTCGTCCCTTAAGACTTTCCTGTAGTCTGACATCCCAATGTGCATGCTGAAGAAGAGTCTTTAAAGATCTGCCACTAATCCAAGAATGATCTTTTTTTCAACACATTTCGTCATTTGTTGGCGCTCCAATAATGCTCAAATTGCAACGATCAGTGGGGATATATAGCTAGCTTCATGTCATATAAACACAGTATCAATGAGATCTGTGGTTTGACATTCAAAATTGTCCTTCTGCTTCAGGTAGACTACAGCATATATATCAGATCCAAAACAACACAGGTGTGGGCGTCACTGTTCAGGGATCATTACCATGTGCCCAGAGCTCATGCATAATGTTTTATCTCAAAGTCTACACCCTTTTTTTTCACCCAGACACATCACTGACATGATGACATTTTCAAATAGACACAATGAAAAAACAAGCAGTTGATGTCAGATATAGCGCCATTGTTTGTCATGCAATCTGATCAACATTATAAAAGAAGTTTGATTAAATAATATTGTCATGAAATGACTAAATCAGAGAGGTCCACCCAGGGTATACTAAAATATTCACTAAAGTTATCATCTTGAAATGAGGAATATTGTGAGAGGCCCAAATACAAATAAAAAATATCTAAGCAATTGGTCTAGCTGTATTTTAAAAGTCAAAAATAGCAATTTTAAACCAAATAGCAAAATGATGCTAAGTTTGATTGAAATTAGTACAGGCATGCCTGAGAAACTGTTGATGACATGCTCAAAAATGCTGATTTTTAGTGTGTGTTTTTTTTGAGAAAAAAAATTGTCACCAGTCGGCCATTTTGAAGCAAATCACAAAACAAACTGCCGTGCATCAGTAACCAACAGTGAGTGATGTTCATACCAAGCTTGAATGAAATCAACACAAGCATTGATTTATGGCCACAAATAGCTACAAGTTGGCTAAATTTTATCAAAATCCAAAAATAACTGAAGACAAGATTCAACCCAGTACATAATTGTACGTCTTGTTTTTGTATCAAATTTAAGACAAAACATTTTGCAATGCACAGTCATAGTTGTGTACTTAATGATAAATATTATGAGCATATAGAATTATGTTTGTCATAATGTGATTAATACGAGTAGTTTGTGGAATAGAATATAACAGCAGAGTGAAAACCTGTATCTCATGGTATACACATGTTATGCATGTGACATTGAACGATATCACGTTTATAGCAAGAAAAAAAACAAATGTCAACAGCATAAGCACACATTATTACTGCACTTTCCCGATTATAAGCCACTCCCGAGTATAAGCCCCTCCCCCGAGTATAAGCCCACCCCTCTATTTTTAGAGATTTGAGGGCATCCCCGAGTATAAGCCCACCCCTCTATTTTTAGAGATTTGAGGGCCTCCCCGAGTATAAGCCCACCCCTCTATTTTTAGAGATTTGAGGGCATCCCCGAGTATAAGCCCACCCCTCTATTTTAAGAGATTTGAGGGCATCCCCAAGTATAAGCCCACCCCTCTATTTTTAGAGATTTGAGGGCATCCCCGAGTATAAGCCCACCCCTCTATTTTAAGAGATTTGAGGGCATCCCCAAGTATAAGCCCACCCCTCTATTTTTAGAGATTTGAGGGCATCCCCGAGTATAAACCCAGGCTGTTTTTACCGGGCGTTGACAACATTTATTAAAATATGCATGTAAAAGGTGTGTTTTATTGCATAAAAATCGTGATTGGTACGGTAGTTTGGTTCGCGAAACCTGGTCATTGGACATCATTTTACTTTTTTGCAAATAATCGGGTTGATTGAGACTATTGTGAATGGGGTGTAAATGAGTAAACTATTCTTCAGTGTGACCTGTTGGCGACTGTGAAGGGTGTTTAAATACTTCCTCCACACTTTAATTCTGAAAATTGAGATTCACCAGTTTTTAGAGAGAAAAAATCATTGTTTTTTCATAGAAATCAGTAGCAACAGATCACAGTTTAACATCGCAGAAATTCACTTCCGCATTGCACTAAAAAATTACATCATCAATAATTGTAAACTCCGTCAGTATGACACAGCATTTTGATTGGTTAATGGAAGACTTGACCTGTTAGGTCAAAGGACGTTGTTTGATGTTAAACCATGCTAAACAAGCCATGCAAGACACAGTCCCTGTTAGTTATCAAATTTAAGATACATAGTTTTGTTTATAGTAATATAGCTGAAATATAACCATGTCAGGAATATGATTATGATGATTTTTTTAACATTTAAATGATTGACATTTGTATCTGATCGTCAAACAAGTACTTGCCCATATTGAGAGATATTGCCTTGGAACAGCATTCAAAATCAGCTATTTTGAATACATGTATATATCTATAACATGATGTATAACGAATATATAAAATTTGAACATAATCAGTCAAAGCATGTCAGAGATATGGCTCAGTCGGCCATTTTGAATCTTATCTGAAAAACAAAATTAATTGCATCGAGGTCCATAATGTCTAATGTATATACTAAGTTTGAACAAAATCCATCTGTAAACAGCTGAGAAATGCTTGATTTCAATGATTTTTTAGCACAAAAATGGCCGCAATTCGGCCATCTTGAATCAGATCGTGAAACAAATTGTGCATATGTATAATATCATGTATGTTGTATGTGTAAAGTTTGATTATGATTGGACAAGGCATTTCTAAGATACACGTACAAAGGTCAAAACATAAGTTCTCGTTTTCGGAATGCGTTCGAACGGGGACTAATATCATATGTCTTTTGTATGATCAAAAACATCCCACAACGAAGATAATGATAAAGATCTTGCCTTTGACTGTTTTCCCCACAGACCCTACCCATTTTTACACAGTAAATTCAGACGTAAATCGTATTGTAATAAAATGTGTGTATTTTTATGAACATGTTTGTTTCTTTATTGTAAAAGTGTTGTAGAAATATCAAGCGATACCACCCACAACAGACTAGGCTAAACCTGCCTTGGACCGCTGAAATTTGTTATATAATTATTCTTAAATATATCTTACAAATTATTCTTACACATGTACATGTGTAAGCCAGCTGATTTCATTGATACCAATGAAACACTCCATTGTGCCGGTGTGTTGACACCTTGTGCTGGTTGACTGAAGTGTTATTTAGTGCTTACGCTATAACTATAGTATCTAGGCACTATAACAAACTAAGTACAAACCCATGACCTGCGCTACTTTACAAGCATTCAAAAGGCTCTCTATTCCGTGACCTTTCTGGCCTCATAACTTTCAATAGTTCTCTTTTGCCCCCCATTACAACTATTCTCAACAATGTTGCTGGGTGGACAAGGCAGTAACTTAAATCTTCTATTGATCTGTGAACAGCGTGGAATGCCGCTTATTCCATACATAATACATCTCCCGTGATATACAAGAGAGTAGGAGGTAATAACGCATAATACGATGTTGTTGCTCGACTCAATGCATACCAAACACAATGCACCATGCCATCTTCCCTATTGTAGTCAAACCTTTGTACAATCCACTAACCCCAAAATAGAATAAGTGCAAAACTAATCTTTAGAAAGTTGACTGCAATTGGCAATTAATAATAGTGTACCTACCTTAAAATGGTACTCTAATTTGACAAGAAAAGGGAAATCTATGGCCTGAAGAATTCGCTTCTCATTCAATGTGTGTTCAACTTGTTTTAACTTGACAACCTGTTGAGTTAGAAATGTTATTATTATTATTATTATACATCCTATCAGCATACTTCTATAATAGTGCTGTATCTGCATCCTACCTTATTAGGAAGTTTGACTTCCAAATATGGAAATAATATGTGAATAATGAATATTTATACTAAATGTCACCACCTTGTCTAGTACTTGTATACCAAGTTATTGAATCAGACATAAAAAGCGCATCGGCTGTTATTTCTCGCTGTATTATAGCATTAAAAAATACTGTAATAAATGTAAAGTGAGAGTTTTGATTTGAAATTCATATTGTATTCTACAATACCTTTTGTTTATCAAGAATCTTCATAGCATAGTATTGTTGTGTTGCTTTATGTTGGACTAACATCACCCTTCCAAAAGAACCTGTACCTAGCGTTTTTTTCCTGTCAAAGTCATCCAGACAGGCTGTATTCTATAAATCGGATAAAAATCACGAATAAAATTACATGTAGGCTGGCATCACTGCTGGCATCACTCAGTTGAATCAGCCAGTTCAAGATGAGAAACGATGGACACTGATGCATTGTGTGGGAGAACAATATCATTCCTGGCTACCGTGTGTTAGCATGTCACAATTTGTGTTCTTAAATTTGTATTACTAGTACTTGCTGTATTTTTTATTGAAATCCTTCAAATAAATTTAGCGATGAACAAAATTTGCTTTTAAGGTATAAATTTTGTACACAACCTACAACCCTGTCATGCATTACGGAATTGAATTTTGCTTTGAGTGTACACTAAACACAACTAAAAATGTCCCCATGTGCAGCGGCTACAGTCAAATGCCATGTTGCCATGTTTAGGTGGTTTCACCTGATGTAACTTGCATGACATTTTGTGTAGTGTCTCGGGTTAGTAAAGTCTAAATAAATAAAATTAAAATAAAGAAAACAAATTATGAAACTGACATGCATCAATCTTAGTGGGAAAATCCAGATTGCGGATAAACAAATCCTGAATGAGATTTGATGAGTGGTAGACCACCTAAGATGTTTAAAACTTGATCACAAAAGAATCTATGGAAACAGTTTCAGATATCAACAGGAAACTTCTGACCCAGATATCTTGCAAATACCGTAAAAGGTTGCTTTCGATATATAACACATATTATACTTGATGTCCGATAAAATACGATACAGCTTTAATATTACCAAGGACACAAAAAAGTTGTGAATTTTTATATTCGTATTTGTAGGACACGCCATATTTCCATAAAAATATATTTATTTTGTACATACATGTGACGGACTTTCCCATTTTCTTAAGAAGTCTTCTCTGGCTTTATCAAGAAAAGCTTTAACTGTAAGAAATAAAGAAGATGATAATTATTAGCATTTATTATTATAATATTAAACTGGTTTACCCAGTATGTTCCTTATAAGTTTATTTTGACAGAGAGATAAATTAACTACAACATATCAACGTGTATTTGCTCCACTAGTAGTGCATGCGCTTATGTAAATGACAGAGGTGCGACGGTACGGTCAGAATAAGTATATCATGATTTGGCATACAACTTCTGGTTTATGTGTATGTGAGACTTGCAAAAAAACAAACAAATACAGTATATGCAAATTAACATTTTAAATACTCCTGGTAGAACAGGAAATACTGATTTACTGTATTACGGTAGTATTTATGTCTATGGTCAAACTTAATCACATTTTATTGATTCAGCATATAATAATAGCATTTTTTGTTTCATGTGAGTTTTGACAGGAATGTACTTTCAACACTGTAAGACCAATCTCTTTTAAATCAGCTAACTATTCTTGAGTCAAGAAAGTAAAAAGTCGCTGAATTGGAAAGTTTTTGTGGTTGTTATCTTGTGATTACACAGACTTATTATTATTAAGCTCAATCAACAATTGACATTTGAAATCAAACGCAATGTCTGGAAGTCACTGAGATATGATCAGAAGTCACCTAGATGTGGAACAAGATTAAATTTCTTTCATGGAATGCAAGTATAAACAAAAATAAATGAATAAATAAATAAATAAATAAATAAGGTTTCACACAATAACGTTATAATTCTATGTTATTATACTATAATACATGAAGTGCAGATGTCAGTGTTCTCCCCAAAGCGTTTTAGGGTAGCGGTACCGCTACCCTGTAATTTGTGCCGCTACTCTGGCACATTGCCCGCTACTCTGAAAACCTGGCCGCTACCCTGCGATATTTCCTGTCATTTGTATACATGTGCAACGACAGCTTGGTCGGAACTTTTACAGCCAAGCTGCTACGATCGCAAGTTGCTACGTTTCCTGTCAGACCGTCTCCAAATACATGTACAATAGCCAGTCTCCCACCTTCTCTGACAAACTAAGTGCGTAAAAAAAAACTAAAATCGTCTGCACGTGTCTCCAGTTAACTCGTCAGACACATGATCGCGTCGTTTAATTGTTATGCCCAAAAACATTTAACACATTTTACCTATAAAATAAAGAGAGAAAGCGATGTATCCCCAGTTATATTTCGACTGCCAAACAAGAAGCTATGTCTGCAATCAACAAGAGTTCCGTCAATTTGATGTCGTGGTTACGCTCCGACCGTGCACCGCCACAACACGATTCAACGAACTGTGGTGCATCCACCGTTGTCGAGGCAGTTGTTTTACCGACTTCAGCCAGCCCCAGAGGAACAAAACGAACCCAAGATGAAGAAATGCGACAAAAAAATCAAAAGAGAAGAAAAACTGGCTTTGACTCCAAGTGGTGTTCAATTTATCCGTGGTTGATGGAAACTTCCGACGGAAAAGGTAATTTTTTCTCACCGAGTTTTACTGGGAGATCTTCTATTTGCTCGATCAATTGAGTCGATCGTATTAAAATCATTCTCAAATTAATTTTCCTAACATATCATAGAATCGATTTGGGGAATTATTATCATATTTATCTATAACTTTTATTGCGTTTGTATATTTTCGTTTTTGAGCGAGTCTGATCAGCTTCGAATATTGGCTTGGCGATCATTGTGACCTTCATAACATGTGACCCTTACCGGACATGTCGTGTTTATTTACATCTGATTTTTAAAAATCGGCCAGATATTTACGAGTGTTTACAGCATATGTGCTTAGAACTGATTCAGATTATATATATTGTTTTGTAACGCAAGTTTTTGACTACATGACCCCTTTCGACCGGAATGATTTCCAAGATGGCGGCCACTCATGATCGCGATTGGCGAAGTATCGTGGGCAATTGCCTTGCCGGTGTGACTTCCACAGATCAATCTTTATTTTTTGTTATTTCTATTTCAGGTATGCTTTGCCAATTTTGTCAGAAATTTAATATGAAAACCCGAAATGGCTTTTCTGTGTGGAATTCCGTGCCTTGTGTTAATATGACAAAACACGCCATTGACAAGCATGCAAAGTCGGAGATCCACAAGAAGGCTATGGTTATGGAACACGAAAATAAAGAGAACCACAACGTCGCAGACGCTTTTGTCACCCAAGTCAGCTTGCAGAGACGAGCGATTGAAGGGGCTCTCCAGTCTCTTTATTGGTTAGCGAAAAATGAAGTGGCACACACAACAAAATACAAGTCATTGCTAGAATTATTACAGCTGATGGGATGTTCATATATGGATACTCTTGATTTGGTAAGTGTAATTTTGTAATAAATTATCAAACAACGTTATACTGTCAATATACACAATTTGGAATTTGTCGTAAATGTTCATACTTTCTTTTCTTGTGTTTCTATCTATATCTAATATTCACAATCATAATATTGTGCAA